ATTAGACGGAGCTGTGGTGCAGACGTATCTTCACTGAGTCATCATTATTCAGTGGAAACATGCAGTTTGATTAGAAACTTGAATGACTAAAAGACTTGATCAGTGTCTTCACCAACATTACCCTAGATCAGCACGCCGTCATCTGTTAGCCGGCTAGGCACCTGTGTGTTGAGCTTCACGTTCATTTTCTTGACGAGTTCAAGCCCTCTGTGGGCGGGCTTCAACCAGGGACGTAGCCACGGAGAGGGCCAAGGGGATCTTGCCCCCCTCCCCCCTTGAGCCGAGAGTTTCACACAAAATATTGTGTGGTTTCACTTGACCCTGCCCAAATTTGCAACATCCTTTCAAAATTTGACATCTGTTCTTCCCTCCCCCTGGCGAGGCAAACCTGCGCCATGGCTTGACCTGGCTGGCTTGGCAAACGAGCATGGCTTGAGCCTGATAGTTATCCTGATCGGGCGATCATCGGGTATTCACCGCGATTTACGGTCCCACGGATAGATCTCATCTTTCACATCATGATGGGCGTCCTAAAAACTGGCATCGCCATGTTGAGTTCACTGCAAAAAAGCGCAATCCCCATAAACGGATGGACGCCACAAACACCTGTGCCCAACAACGCGGCAGGCCGGCCTGTGTCAAGACTCCTTTCTGAAAGTCCGCACGCGCGTAAGGCGCAGCTCAGCTTTGCCTTCCAGAGCCTGAGAGGCTACTCCTACTGATTCCGGTCTCCATCCACCTATTTTTATCTTAATGAAACACGCATTTTAAATCTCAAAAATCCTGCAAAAGGGCTCCAAAGTGCCAGCGCTACCGCCGATCTGGCAGCACTATTATCTGTCCCGGTAGCTTGGCGCCATTGCAGTCGCCTGCACTCGACTAATGACTGCGCGGCGAAGTGCGCCGAGCAGCGCCGTAAAAAAAAACACGACACAGCGTCAGCTGACGAGCCTTACCTGACCATCATCCCGAGCCCCCGGCCCGTCCTCACAGTAAGACATCTTTCTGCAGCCAGGCATGCGGTCTTGGCCTGCTCAGGGGCCGGCCGGTCCGTACCAATGTTGTTTTGCATGTCACCTGCCGTCATTACGAGCAAGGCCGCAGGTGACTTGGTGCTACCTGAGCCATGAGGAAGTTGTCAGCCTGAGTGGGCCGTCTCGAACCGGCCGTCACGTTTTCTAGAAGCCACAGTCTTTTTAACCACCTATGGTAGGTTCATGCCATTTTCACAACAAGAAGGTTAGGAAGTATTTAAGGAACTGTGATTTTGTAACCGACGTGTCGCATGAATTGTTAGTTATCTGCACGCAAGCCATTTGATCAGGCGGGTTCTGTTGCAATATCAAAATCTCACCACAATTTCACCACTCCGACTAGAAGAACTTGAAATTTGTAACAATCCACAATTGCGAAAAGGTCGAAGAACAAGCGTCGAAACCGGGCTGAGATCTCGACGCCCATCGTCGCAATGGGTCGAAACTGACCAGTGCATTTCAACGGAGGAGAAAACTTGATAACGTATTGGCAAGCGTGCGAGTCGGCGTGTGCAGGCGGTCTCACGCACTCGGGTGCAGACCATGTACCCGCCCGTTTGTGGGTGTTTTGAAGAATTAGGATCAGAAGTTGAAGGATCAAAGATGGCTAGAAGGGTGAAGGATCAGGTCAGGTCAGGTGAGTCGGCCTCGATTTACTAACAGTTGGAAAACTGTCCGACCGATAGGTGCGCTGGTATTCCACTGGAAAGCGGATTAGAGTGCACTGATTTCATCGATTCGTGTTTCATCCGTCGATTCTGTCGGCTCAAGTTCCCAGATCATACTTAACTTAAAGCTAGTCGATTTTCGAGCTATGATAGAAGCGCGCCAGTGCGTGGAAGCGCGCCTGTGCAGTGGACCAACGATCTGTAGATCAGTGGCCTGCGGCTATGCAATTCCCACGAAAGGTGGGCTTTCTGACGCATTGAACAAGACAACTGGCATCAGTTGCCTAACACGCTTGCCTGCTCCATTCGCCTAGCTTCGGGTGCCGTTTGCATCGTGCATGTGGTGATATGACAGCTGGCAGCTGACCAGGTATAACCACAACAATGACAACAACCATATATGGTGCAGCTGACTGCTAGCATGTCTGACATCGTCTTGCTTATACCGCGCCACATAAGGCGTCCTATGTAATAAATACCCTACTAATGAAAGACCCCAATAATTTTATTATAAAGAAATTAAAATGTTTATTAAATGACCGAATGAATTTGGCTGAAATTTGAGTTTTGGTCACTTGTATGTGTGAGGGCATGCCCATATTTTAACTGTCCCTGATTTGGCATCCTTAATGTACGAAAGCATGCTCGTAAATATGCATCTTTATAGTTAGGTATAGATTGATATGTGTTAAATCGGTATATATATATATATATATATATATATATATATATCCTGCTAGTGCGTATCAATACCGCATTGGGATTTCAAGCCACTTCCTACCGCGGAACGTCTACAGGCTTCGTTTTAGAATGGAAAGACAAAGGGGCTTGAATTCTCCTTATGTACCGAAAGTTCCATCCGTGGTGACCGCACTTGTGTGCCAAATTGTAGCTACTTCCTATGTTTTTATAGTCACTTTGAAAAAAGCGTAAGTACTCGTTAAAGCTGTATGGAACAAAGGCATCCAGCCCTTCCTGGCAACGTAATTTGGTTTGGTTTGGATAGGAGCCATTCTGGTCAGTGATTAACATTCTTGGTATGAGAGTTGAAGGACAGCGAGCACGTCATGCGCCTGGAAGTCCATCTGCCAATACGTAGCCCGCACAGGGACCCACCCATAAATGCCGTATGAGCTCGGCGCTCGGATGGGGCCCTATCAAGAGACACCCACTCGTGGCTGGCGCTCGCAGTCTGCGCCGGATAAACGGGACATTGCGAGGATGCAGGATAAAGTGAGAGTAAGGAAAGAAGGACGGGATGTGTCCACCTAAAGCTTGATATGTTTTTAGTTCGACCTGGCCGAAAAGTGCTGGCCAAGGCCAGTCAGATGTGATGGCTAGAAGCCTGCTTCTAAGCTGCAGACCTCAGGAATGCAGGCATCGGTCGGAGCCTCTTGAGATCTGCATGCTGCATGTTTCAGCACCTGTTTTGAGGTTTTGCTAAGGGTTTTTATGGGGTCCGGGAACAATTTCTAGCTTTTGACAAAGAAGCTTCCAGGCATTTGGACTTACCGTCTGGAATTTGGTCGAAGGAGCCCTCTGAGTCCATGATCTTAGTTAGGATATTCTCGACGGACCGCCGTGGATCTGAAATCTTCTCTTGAAATCCCCACAGTGTTGGATGTAAGGCCAAGTTGAAATACGTCAGGTTTGTTTATCGATTTGAGAAAAATTTAGAACATTTGTTGCCTTACCAGGAAGAAATCTTACTAAGCGTTGTTGAGGTAACGCAGGCTAACAAGCCCCATTTCACATAGTTCGGTCCCCGAATAAGAACCATACATACACTGTTTACGCACTGGTTCAACTGCGCTCGCTGCGGTCACTTAATTTGGGAGTTTGACCCAGACGAACATAAATGCAAATCATGAATGCAGTGTTCGCCATTGTCGCCGTCTTGGTCCCGCCCGTTAAATATTGATATAGGTCGCACGAGCTGAACCCTGTGGCGTTGCGAGCCTGGAGTTGTTACCACAAGGCCCACGTTACGGTCCGTTTTGACATTCGAGAGCTCTGTTTCCAAGCCGCGGAGCCCGGTGTATCGCCCGCATTTCTGTGTTACAAACACCATCTGTCCGGCTTACGCCACCACTAGCCCACAAAGCCGACGCTTAAACGGTGCACCGCGAGGTAACGCTGACAAAAACTGCGGAGGCTGTTTGGTTCAGAGGCAAGAGCAATTACCTCTTTGTTTACGGCCAGCCCGTGGCATGTGGCGACTGAAGCCCGGCAAACGCCCTTCTCCGGACAAAGACGACGCACGGGTTGACTTTCTCCCGCCAGGGGCTGCCGATGTCCGTTCAGCAAACAACGGGCGGCCTGCGTGTTTGTCTTCTTACGTTGATGAAACAGCTGGCCAGGTGACTGGAGTGGTCAGAAATTGCGTCGCTTCAAAGTAGGGTAACGCATTTTTCATTGCATTATTACGCACGTAAATGTGCGTTATTGGCCTTTTTCAAGCGTGACATCACACCCTTAAAACTGATCTCAGGAACGTAAACAGGAGTTTAGAAATGGGGACGGGGAGCGACTCAAATATTGGGACTGAAAACCGAGTTTAGCAAGCGCACGATTTCCTGTCAACCGCATGCCAAAATCACATTTTTAACCTCATTTTTACTTGTCCACATAAATTTCTTAACTGCCGGCATTCAGTCACGTAGATATCAGTACACGACAGGAATTTGGTAATTGGGGGGGGGGGGGAGCACGTGCCCCAGGTGCTGCGATGTATGCACACCCCTGAATTTTACATACACGGGTGTAACCGCCGCCACTGTCGCCGGTGGCGTCCAGATCCCGGTGGCTTCTGGGCCGGCCGGCCTACTTCTCGCCGTCATGCATTGGCATAACAGAGCAGATTCGATCGCAGCATGATCGGTTTCGGAACACACACTCCGTTCTTTGTGTGGTCACGTACTAGCGTTTTCATTATGCGTTAACATTGCTACCAAGCTCCTTGTTTGCGGATCGCAAACGCGCGATCTGCACGCAGGCCATTTTTGTCTAGCCCGCGTTTGCGCTCATCTGCAATCCAGTAGATTGCCATAACACACCCAGCGCGCGCTTGGGCTATGCGCCGTCCCCACATCCGCCCCGATGTATCTCGGGCGCCGCCCCCCGTGGCGCGGCCTCGGTGCAGGCGCACCCGACCGTCGGTGCAGCTGTACCGTATTCGCCAGCACGGACCGCTATCGACCCGGCTCGGTGCAGGCGAACCGGCCACCGGCGGCGCCCCAGGCGATGCCGGTCAGCTGACGGCGGCGGCGCCGGCCGTGCAGTGACGACCGTGCGCGCCAGGCGAGAACAGCGGCGGCGGCGGCGGCGGCAGCGGCGGCGGCGACAGGTAACAAGGCCCGGCTCGGCGCGGCGCACCGCTCTCTCGAGGCTTTGTTTGTCGGCCCGGAGGTGTGTGTTTGCAAAGTTCGCGGCGCGGTCGCGGCCCCGTTTTTCATGGCGTCGCTGTCACCTGTCCCTCTCAGTCGGCGCAGTTCGTCGTGACATTGTTCACCCCGTCACTTTGACGCAAGAGTCGCTGTAGATAACGGACCCATTCCCGGGAATCCCCTCCAAGCTTTATTATCCAGGGGGCGCTGTGTTTGGACTGACAGCGGTGTTTGGGCGGCCGGCGCAGCGTGGCCTGCAGCGGCGCAGGTCGCTGGCTTCGCCGGCAGGCCCCCGTGCAAACGCTGACACTGCCGTGGGCGGCTGGTGACCGTGACAGCTGACACACGCGCTCTTTGTTCGCCCGATGTGTCTGAAGCCTGGTGGTGGTCCGTGGTGGCTTCGCGCCACCTGAACGACACCGCTGGGTCTTTCGACCTGCCCACCGAAGCCTGCTCTCCGTCCCACGTCAGACCGTGTTCGGCGCGCAGAGCGAGTGGTGGTTCCGGGAAAGCGTGCAGCGTACGTCGACGTGAAGTGCCGAGCTTGGCTGGTTTCCCTGTCACATGCTGGCCTTTGGTTTCCCTGTCACACTGGCGATGACCATGGCCAGTCACGGTACTTAGTGCTCTTGTGGGGTGGCCTGGGCTCTAAATGATTTTATATTTTAACAATAAGCCCGTGGCGGGATTCCTTCCGTATGGGAGGAATGCTGGCCCACGTGGCGTTTTGGAAGAACATGCCTGTGGCCATTATTGGAACTTTGTGCTGGTAACTTTGGCCGTAATCCTTCCAGAATTTGGGTCAGTACAGCCCACCTTCGAATGGTTTGGCCCAGGGGCAACGCACCACTGATCGCTGTACCAGCATAAAGCCCGGCACCCTCTAGATGAACCTTATAGTCGCGCGCTGTTATATATCCAGCATTTTCTTCAAAGACAGTCCTTGTGTTGGTAGGAGAGACTGCTTAAACTTTAAGTCATACATAGGATATACACATGTCCAGCTGGTCCACACGCCCTAAAGCCCAATCCAACTGGACGCAGTGCTGGACCTCGGGCCGCGCCGCTGCCACAGCCCCGTCCGCTAGGCCTGCGCGACCGCTGTCTCCGGGCCGAATGACGTCAGCCGCTACCGCCGGCGTCAAGCGAGAATCGCCGGAAATCGCGAGTGCAGACCTCCGTCAGGACAGCGTGGGTGGCTGTGCGATACAGCGGCGACTCCAGCTCACGTCCAACGCACGTCCTCCTCGTACTGACCCACGGCGGCGGCGGGGGAGGGGGAGGGGGCACGACGTCATGTGTCAGCGCTTTGTCGGCCGCGCGTGACGAGCGCCGGTGAAGGCATCTGAGCACGGCCCGCGACCGGCCGCCGGCCGCCCAGCTGTGCCGTCAGCTGCGCCGGCTGGAACAAAGGGCCCGGCTGGAGGCTGCTCGGTGCAAGCGCACCGTATGCGGGCACGGGATCGGGAAACCCCACCTGCTCGGCTCGCGCCGGACATCCCGAGCTTCACAGGACGTGGCTTGGGGCAACACCAGCCTTGACGAGCAAGATCGCAATGCGTCCGTGTGAGCGTACGCTGCTGTAGTTCTTGTTTTCTTTGTGAGGCGTGCGCCTGGAAGTTCGTGAGCTCATTCCGCTGACGGTGCGTCCTCGCTCCAGAGCGGGCGCTCGGGCAGACGCCGGACGAAGCCATGGACTGCACCAAGTGCGTCAAGAAGGTGAGTCACCGTCGGCGGACAGTTTCCCCGGTCGTAACGGGGAGCGCGTGAGGTGCGGATCACGCGCAGAGGCGACTCGCAGGGGCGGCGCCAGGGATTCTGGGTTGGGGGCAGGATTTCTCAGCAGGCGTCCTAGACAAAATGGGGCCTCCGCGTACGGGAGCCTCACGCGCAGTGTCGCATTCCACGGGGAGAGGTACCGAAGGTATGTGCCCCGTATCAAACTGCTAGTGTATTTAAAAGTCAACATTATGATTAATGTTATGTAAGTATTAATAAAAGTCAACATATTATAATTAGCCATCAAAGGGTCTCACCAAATGACAACAGGACTTCTCCTTCCGGAAAAGGGCCTCCCGAGCCAGAAAATGGGCCTCCTTGACACGAAGTTAGTCTTCATTATCTATAACATTGGCTAACGTATTCACAAAGGTAACCATATGGCTCAGAATACGGGTCTGCTGATGTAACAAAGGGTCTTCTGGGCCTGCCTTAATACTCCCAATCTCAGTTATGAGGGACCTCCGTATCTGAATTTGGACATTCTACGGGGAGCTGCAATGGGTCTAATTTGGGAAAATGGCCTCCCAAAAATTTGGAGGGAAAAACATGGCCCTTCTCTCTCTGACCCCCCCCCCCCCCTGCTTTGCCACCCCTGGCGACATGATGCGTTTTGTTCGGGCGAGCCGAAGCGGTGAGATATCACATGAAGCAGGCAGAGGCGTTATAAGTTCCACACCACACATGGTACAGCGCCCCTGATGTTGTATTGCTACATTCAATGTTTGAGTACTCTGGCTCTGCTGTGATTAGTGCAGTGGGTATAATGCGCCTGCATACTGCGACGTCCCCATGCATGAATGCGGGATCCAGGGTCGCGCCCGCCATGAGGGAAAATGGATGCCTATCACATGAGGGTAGCTGGAAAGAACAAATCCAAAACACTGCTGAAGAGGTCAAACCGGACCGGTTTCCTCAACGATGGCCATGACTGCGGTGCAAAACAGCTGGTGATCGTGACCAAGGTCACGATGATCATGCACTCGATAGCCGCTGCTGGTCGCCCGCTGGCCCCCCAACAGGCAGCGTTCAGCAGCGGAGCCCTTCTAACGGGACATGACATCTCGCCTCAGGTGAAACACCAGCGTGACCTGCGGGTTAAGATGGTCACTTCGCCTAAGAAGACGAGTCACATGGTCCGGTTCACCGAGGGCTCCGAGGCGGAGGAGCTCACCCAGCCCGGCCGGTGAGTGATGCGGAGTAGCTCACGCAGCCGGGCCGGTAAGGGATACGGAGGAGCTCACCCAGTTCGGCCGGTGAGTGGTATGGAGGAGCTCACCCAGCCCGGCCGGTGAGTGATGCGGAGGAGCTCACCCAGTTCGGCCGGTGAGTGGTACGGCGGATCACCCAGCCCGGCCGGTAAGTGATGCGGAGGAGCTCACCCAGTTCGGCCGGTGAGTGGTACGGCGTAATCACCCAGCCCGGCCGATGAGTGCTACCGCGTGTTTATGAGCACGCGCGTGTAGCATATGCTCAGGTCAGCGCTGAGGACTGGTGTTTGTTTAGGGGGGGGGGGGGGGGGTTACAAAGTTATGGCCGCAGCCATAGTGATAGCTTGCATTAGTTGCATAACCATAGGCTTACCGTTGACTTCCAACATTTTTAGAGGGTAGGTTTTGTCCATCTCTCAGCATGGGCAAAATGAGCTGTCCAGATGACCGTAAAGTTGTCCCATGCAGACATCTGCCTGTAATGGACAGACCCACGGGCGGGCAAGTTAGCGGTCGGGCAGATCTACGATCGAACAAGGTCGCAGTCGGGCAGACTCACAGGTGGACAAACCAACAGACGGACAAACCCACACCCTGCCCAGCTGAAAGCCAGGCGCACCTGTAGGACAAACTCACAGTCGGCCAGTCCTCGACAGACGATCAGGATAGCGGTAGGGAAAACCCATAGGTGGAAGTGCGAACAGTCTTGCAGGCCTACAGTCGGATGTTCACAGACGGGCGAACCTACAGTCAGACCAGCTGACAGACGGACCTCGGCCAGGTAAACTAACAGGAGACCAAAACTACAGTGGGACAAACAATCAAAGGGCGGTGAAGACTAGCAGTCAGACAAAAAAAAAATAGTCGAGCGGCCCTCTGGTCAGAGAAACTACCGCTCATCCTGGCATATAGTCGGAAAAACAGCCGAGCAAAACAAGAGCAGGATATGCCTACGGTCGAACACACCGACCGTCGGGCAGCCCGCAGGCTGCAAGCTTGTCTTGTTTGCAGTTGGACAAGCCAACAGTTGGGTAAGCCTCTAGTTGGACAATCTGACAGTCAAGTATACGTGCTGCACTACGAAAAGGTAACAGTCATGTGGACACACAGTTCGACGAAATGGTAAACGGACAGATCTACATCAGGGGCAAAGCAACGGTCCGGCAGATCTGACCTCGGACGAACCATAAATCGGGCAAACCTACTGTTGGTCGAAATAACAGTCCCCCAAACAAAGAGTTGGGAAATCCTGCAGCCAGGCAGAACTACAGATGGATAACCAACAGTCAGAAAACCTATCCAACGGCAGAGCAGACATTTGGTGGGCAAGCGAACGGTCGGGAGAGCCTGTTGTAGGGTAAACCCACAGTCTGTTGAACTTGCAGTTGAGCAGACCTACAGTTGGGAGACCCTGCTGTTGGGTGAACCCACAGTCTGCTAAACCTGCAATGGAGCAGACATGCAGTCGGGAGAGCCTGTTGTTGGGTAAACCCACAGTCTGCTAAACCTGCAGTGGAACAGACCTACAGTCGGCAGAGCCTGTTGTTGGGTAAACCCACAGTCCGCTAAACCTGCGGTGGAGCAGACCTCCAGTCGGGCAGACCTGCATCTGAACGAGCCAACGCTCGGGTTCGCCGGCTGTTACTCTGTTGCGAGTGTTTCAAGTCGGCTCACGATATTCTCGCCAGATTGTGCGCACAGTGAAAATCCGCCGGATTTGCAGGAAGTCTCCGTTGTTACCCGCAGCGTTTGTGCGTGACCACTTTTACAAATTCGGGTCAGCTCTAAGGCGTCGTTTTCCGGTGCTTGCTTCGCACAGGAAACTAATCAAGCTTAGAGTGTTCGCGCCGACCGTGTCCAATCACCAGGCTACCCCTAGCCCAAAACGGTTTCCAAGAACTCCGTGGTAAAGACATCACTCACGTCATGGAACATTGCGGGTTGGGGCAGTCACATCCGTCTTCTCTCCGATGACCCATGAAACGCCAGCCGAGACCAGACACACTGCCCCACTGATGCATTGCCGACCCGGTCCAGACGTCTGATAGACTCCAGCAAAGCGGCGCTCGGGCTGAGCGGTGGCTCCCAGCGCACGCGTCCCTGCTAAGGCTTGCTCCCGAGCAGCCGATGACCTGACGCTGGCCAAGCAGCGCGGCGCAGGTCATGTCTCGCAGACCCAACGTTGGCCTTGGCTCCACGCGCCGTATCGGCCCAGCTGTGGTTTCCTGCAGCTGCGTTTTAAACCGCTAGAGCCAGGGCTGGCGAGAGCCTAGCGTTGTGGCACTTTGTAAATGTCAAGTCCACGTGGCCTTTCAAAATTTGAGCCCCGTCCATCACCAGCAGACGGCTCTAGGAATGGCTTTGTGGCAGGCGGCAGGATGGATTACGATCTGTTCGGGATGAATAAGTCGTCGACAGTTCTTTAGCTAAACCCAGCCTATGTTTTACTGAAGCGAGTTATGACATGGTCTTTCGCATCAAGGTTGATCGCGTTTAGGTAGTGCGAACTGCCGATTGTGGATTCAGGAGTAATAGTGAGAGGCGTTTAGGCACTCGGCTGTCCCAATAAGCTATACCACTCGACGAACGCAAACAAGATAGTCTCACAAGTACAGGTTTTAGAAAGCTTCCGATTATCAAATGCATGCAAGTGACGTATCATATACACGAGCAGAAAAATCGTTGGAGAGGCGACGCAGGACCGTTATGTTGAGGTGAGAAGGCTGCAGCGAACATTTATTCTTAATTCATTCGTTGAGAAATATGGCCACGGCCTTGTCCTTTTTGACTGGACGTAGTATGATATCTGATATGATAGCAGGGTAGCATGATATGATACGGTAGCATGATATCTAGTATGATATCTGAAACACACCCAAGGATGATACGTCGGAGGTGTATATACGCATGAATAAGGCGATGCTAGACAGTTTAGGATGGAGGAATGCGAATGGTTCAATGCCACGTTATGGCTAGTGTTGTGTCTGCTTACGACTACCTCCTCGTCACTACAGCATGGTTTTGCATAAAACTGAAAATGTAATGGGAGTATGGTAAATGCCGGCCGGTAACGACCGGTATGGTAAAAAGAGATATCCGTACATTCTTTCCGGTGTCTGACTCGGGCACACTGCCTCAAAACATTTTCACCAAATAACAGGATATGTGTAACCATGGCTCTTATTTAGCATATTCATCTACAGGCGCTGGCAAAAGTAACTGACCGCTGCGTTCTTTAAGTCATTCCGCTTGTACAAACAAGATTACTTGTCGTCGTAGTTTTGTTAGCATCAGAATGAAATAGTTGGTAATAATAATAACAATAATATAATAAATATTAGCCAACATCGCCATGATATGCAATAATAAAAGTCTGATAACTTTTGTGTTTATCCCGTTTCTAAGCATGCATTAGTCCGTGCCGACGTTTCGAACCCATTTCATAATTGTTTTTTTATATTTATGTCATGCCTATTTGTGACTGCGCCTAGTACATGTCGCTATCCCTGTCAAAAATAAGCAGAATAAACTGAGGGGTCTCGATCAACGTAAAATTGACCCTCTGACAGCACATCCCTACATCGCTCACTGACACAAGAATAGCTCATGTGTCTCGCGCAACCTTCTGTATGGGCGTTTGATCCATTTGCTATGCAGCTTGACCCTCACTGACACAAGAATAGCTCATGTGTCTCGCGCAACCTTCTGTATGGGCGTTTGATCCATTTGCTATGCAGCTTGACCCTCACTGACTCAAGAATAGCTCATGTGTCTCGCGCAACCTTCTGTATGGGCGTTTGATCCATTTGCTATGCAGCTTGACCCTCACTGACACAAGAATAGCTCATGTGTCTCGCGCAACCTTCTGTATGGGCGTTTGATCCATTTGCTATGCAGCTTGTTTAAATCCGCTACTCACAGCATCTGCACACTGCAACATCCTTTTTCATCTCACTTGTTTGATTGATCTCAGGTGTGCCATTGACAGTTGTTTTTACAACTCTCGTCGGTCAAATTGAGTTTACTTCTCAGCCGTCGTCTCGAGCTTTCGAACGATAAAATTGGCCCAGTGGATTCACGTATCTCAGGCTACCAAGTTTCCCCCTCCCAGAAGGAAATTCGTGATACGAAAAAAGTGTCGAACACGTTTCAGGCATTGCCATAGAGCAAATCGCGGAAATAAGCGCCACGGCCGATTCATACTTAACTAGCATAACCCATCTCTAACTAGGCCGAAATTTGCACTGGCTGTGCCTAGAAGCGTGATCAGCTTTAGCTGCCACATGGCGTATTGTTGGCCCGATTTGGCTGCGACTCGATTTGCAAAGCTAGCTGACCTGCTCCATTTGCAAATAATGGAGCACCGTCACGAAAGTTTTACATATGCAAATATGCGCCGCTGGTTTTACTGCCGTTGACAAGCCCAACATACACGAAATATCCCGCATTATCACCTGACACCATGATGTAAATGTCTAACGTCCCAAAACTTGGAAACATGTCAACTGAACGCTTTGGCCCTATGTAAAAACTATTACGTGTCGAATGTATGTTATGACCCTGTGTTAAAGCCATGGCATCGAAAGATGTATGTAGCAGCTCGAAACAACTTCGCCCTGTTCACTCTGCACCCGTAAACGGCCGGTTACGACGTTTTACGACGACGTCGTGAACCGAGATTTGGACCATTCACTGAGCGTGTTTTTGGGCGGGCGCGAAAAAATATTGAGCCTTTTTGTTTAAGCCCGTCGTTGTCTTTGACAACACTAGCAATTTTTGCGCCTTCATCACAGCGGCTCTCCAAAAAAATTGGAGTTGTCCCGATAATCCTTCATCGCTCTACTTATATCAAACATCCGGTTGTTGCTACGTCTGTGCCTTTTGCTTCTGTCCACCTCACCGTCAAATACTGCTGTGATATCCCCACATGCTGGTCTACCAGCCCTCAAGACGCGCCGTTTTGAAGCCAAAACTTCGCTCCAATACTGCAGCGTAAAAGGCACGAGCTAACAGAGACAAAATTTTACATAAATCCTCAGACGGCGCATATTTTTC